AAGCAGGGACCTTCTGGGGCTAGAAGCCCAGTGTCTGCCCAGCCACAAGTGTGAAATCCCTTGCAACCTGGGTTGTCCACTGGCTTGTTTGCTGAGAAGCCAGAGTGGACATGAAGTCACTTGCCTCTGTCTGAAGAGGTGCAGGAGACGATTTTCAAAGCTTCATGTATGACTGGAATTTGCAGTGACCCAAGAGCTGCTGGCTTTGGGATTCCAGTTGTTGGGCTTGGAATTTGCCAAGTTCCCTTTGCTGGGCTCAGGACTGGGGGTGAAAACACAGTATGGAAAATACGTAGTAAAACACAACAAATATGGTTATCATCTGGAGAGAGATGGCAGGTGCCTAGAGAATCTTGGGTGAAATTCCGTTCAGTCTGTCCCAGGACCAGATGGAACCCTCTGCCATAGAAGGGGTGGGAGGGTCAGTTCTCAGGTCTCCACCATGCACTCAGGCCAGACGTCCTGAGCGCCACTGTCCTAACCGTTGAATTCTAGTTTCTGGTGAACCCATAGATGAAAATTAAATTAACACAAGGACCCAAAGGCATTTCTAGTCTCATAGCCTTTTATTCTCATTTCTATTCAAAAGAAATCCATTACAATGAAAATATCATTATACAAGTCTAGATATAAATCTTATACTGAAACCAAAACCAATAAGTTGTGTTCTCGAAAGATAGTATATGAACAGAAATTGCTTGTGTATAGTAAGTTGTATGATATATGCACTAGAATATTAGATATTTAAAGGAATCCTTTACTGAATAAGTTTATAAAGCAAAGAATCATTTTTTCAAATAAAAAAATCATTTTCTCACTTGTTTGGCTTGTAAAAGTATGTGTATTGGGGGATGAGTGTAGTTTGTTTTTCTGAAAACTGGACACATATGTGATAAAATAATTTTTAAATCTCTCTCAAGCACCCACCTCAAACGGCACTGACGTTTAATAAAAGAATTTTAATGTTTACCAAAAGTTGTATTTATATGTGTGCAGCGACCCCATTATTTGTCTGACCCTTCTAGTTTTCTGTGGTTTGGGTTGGTATTACATCAGTTCAGTCTTTCCAGCCCAAAAAGGAATGAATTCCATGTGGACTAGAGGCCCTGAACATACTTTCCTGAGTGTCTGCAACAAGAAAGTACACTTTGTTTTTAAGAAAACATATAGAATCCCAAACCTTGAAGATTTATAATATAGAGGAATAATTCTGACGCCTTGAGTTTGGCACTGGGGGACTATTGGTCATGATGCTGTACCCACAGGTGAAGGGTGTCATGTTGGTCCATCCCCGTTCCAAGAGACATGCAAAGAGAAGGCGCAGAACCCCAGTTTCCTGAGTTTGGAGGGGACCTCTGAAGGCCTTTCAGTCCTATATGCTAGCTAATGTTTCCTGCCCCAGCAACGGGCCTATAGGGCAGGATTTAAGAGGTGGGTGTGTGGGGTTCAAATGTGGAGTCAGTCAGTCACTAGCCCTCACTTGGGGTACCATCCAATCTCTCAGTGTGTCGATTTCCTCATCTGAAAAATGGGCCCATTCATATCTATTACAGATGGATAGAAAGAGCTCAGACAGCATGGGAAGTGATCCAGCCATTAACACCTTCAGGAATGCAACCTCCAGCTCTAACTTCTCTTTCAAGTTACAGCCATACATTGAATGAAAGATCCAACCGTGTCATTATCTGTGATGCCTTTAAATTCTGGGCTTGTCTTCACCAGTGTCCAGGCTGCAATAGCAGTATGCTTCCCAGAAAGGTAATGATAAGGGCAAGGCTCTAACCACAGGGCAGGGGATTGGCTGCAGAGCCCGCACTCCCGTGGATCCTGCCGTTCTGCCCCGGGAGCTTCTGAGGGTCAATGATTACCAGCTTTGGCTTGGGTTCCGCCGAGCCACGGGAGTTGCATTAATGGGGCAGCACGTCACCCACCCTCCCATGTCCAAGAACTTTCTGGGAAAGCCCTGGAGGCAGAGGGAAGCAGAGCCAGCAGCCCCCATTGACCCTGTAGTTCTGTGTCCTAGAGCCGCCCTTGGGCCTGTGCTGAATTCCTCTCTTTGGGGCTTTTTGTCACCGGGCAGGGCCCACCCCAGGGGATCCTCTGAGAGTGGGGACACTGCTGCAGAGACGTCCGACCTGCGACCTCACAGTGTGACGAGCTACTCCAGCAACTGTCTTGTGCTGCCCTTGACAAGTGTCTGCCCCTGAAACAAGAGAGCGAGTGGGAGGAAGTCCTCTCCCAGACTCAGAGCCGGACCAGGGTGGGCAAACCCAAGGCCTCGCCGAGACCTGCCCCCAAGAGGGCCCACGGAGCCCACGGCAGCCCTGCTGACGCACTTTTCCTCATTCCTCTCTTCCCTCTTACTCACTGGTGTGTATAGTGTCCTGGAAAAGGTGAAGTGAAATTCCACTTTGCTTCCTCTTATTTGCCCTTCTAATCGTAATCAAACTGAATCAAAAGAGGTTTCTCCATCTCAAAAAGGTTACTTAACCTCTCCACAGTGTTTCCTAATAAACTGGTGATTATAACGCCTGTTTGTTGCCAAGGGGATTCACTGGAAGATACACATGTCCACACAAAAAGCCGTGCACAAATGCCGATAGCGACATTGTTCGTAACAGCCAGAAATTGGAAACAACCCAAATGTCCATCCACAGATGAATCAATAAATAAATGGGGTTTGTCCATACAATGGAATATTATTCGACCATACACGGTGAGTTTTGAAAGCATTGTGCTTAAGTGAGAGCGGCCAGATACGGTGTTTTTCCACTTGTACAAATGTGTAGAACAGACAAATCTACATAGAGAGAAAGTTAGATCGGTAGTTCCCAGTGGTGGCGGGAGAGGGAAGTGCGGAGTGACTGTAATTGGTACCGAGTGTCTTTTCTGAAGTGATGAAACAGTTCTAATATTGATGGTGGAGATGGCTGTCCACCTTTGTGACTATACCCAAAGCCCACTATTGTAGCTTTAAATGGGTGGCTTTCATGGTATAGGAATTTATTATATTATATTATATCATATCAGTATTGTATTGTATCATATGATATTGTACTATTTCAAAAGAGCCGGTACAGGAAAAATCCACATCAAGTAGCTCTTGCACGACAGGACTCGGCAAACTGCCCGCATCTGTGGCCCTGCCTCTCCAATTTCTTCCTCTCCGTCTCTTCTGCTCCCTTCTCTCCCAGCGCCAGCCGGAAGCACCACGCTCGGCCCTTGTAGGGCCCTCGGCTGAACTTGGCCCCCTCCTCCTATAGCAAGAGCCACCGTGATTCTGGAGGCACCACATCCAAATTACTTCCTTGGTCATAAGAGTCTGGAGGCACCCAAAGATGCTTCTGTGCGTCCTCACCCTCAACACGCACTCTGTCAGCAAAGGAGAGACTGCGCGGGCTTCCCTGGTGGCGCAGTGGTTGAGAATCTGCCTGCTAATGCAGGGGACACGGGTTCGAGCCCTGGTCTGGGAAGATCCCACATGCCGCGGGGCAACTAGGCCCATGAACCACAACTACTGAGCCTGCGCGTCTGGAGCCTGTGCTCCGCAACAAGGGAGGCCGCGATAGTGAGGGGCCCGCGCACCGCGATGAAGAGTGGCCCCCGCTTGCCACAACTAGAGGAAGCCCTCGCACAGAAACGAAGACCCAACGTAGCCAAAAATAAATAAATAAACAAATATGGGGTTTAAAGAGAAAAGAATATTATTTAAAAAAAAAAAAAAAAGGAGAGACTGCGCCTCTCCCGGCACCTGTGGGCAAGCCCTTCTCCAGCCCGGCCGGTGGTGACTGGGGAAGCAGCCGAGGCAGAGCGTGGCGCCGCCCCGCCGTCCACCCTCGCCTGGGTCCCGCACGCCGTGACCCTGACCTGGCAGCTCAGGGTTTAGCCCCGGGTCAGCTCTGCCCACTCGCCCCTCGCAGCTCCCAGGGCAGGAGGTCGGGCCAAGGTCCTCGCGGACCCACGCGCCATCTGATGGGTCGCCCGGAGGCGGACGGGAATTCACGCGGCCTTGGCCTCGTCAGGCTGCCCCTCGGTCCACTGTGCCGGCCACGTCTGCCCACACTCCCTCCCCCTCTTTCACACTCGTGGGAGCTCAGTTCCATTCTCTCCTGCTCTTTCCTTCACGCAGTACATTTTTAAAAATATATATATATATATATATTTTTGATGTGGACCATTTTTAAAGTCTTTATTGAATCTGTTACAATATTGCTTCTGTTTTATGTTTCGGGTTTTTTGGCTGCGAGGCTCTTGGGATCGTAGCTCCCCGACCAGGGATCGAACCGCACCACCTGCACCGGAAGGTGCGGTCTTAACCGCTGGACCACCAGGGCAGTTCCCTTTACTCAGTACATATTTTAATCTTTATTTTTTCTTGACTTTTGTTCCTTGCCCATGGCTCTTGTTGTATTTCTGGAGTCAGTGACATTAGTTATCCATTCTTAGCCCGACCTCTGTGGGGACTCAGCAACCTCACAGATGAGCCAGAATCCCATCGCACCACTGAAACCACTCGTGAGGCCACATTCCCCCATATCCTTCCGCCTGCCCACACACACGGAGGAGGGAGGAGGGGGCGTGAGGCAGATTAGGATGGGTGGGGGGTCTTGGCTGCTTCCTTGGTGACAGCTGGGGGGAAGAGCTGTGCGGAGTCCAAATTCGGGGCCTCTCAAAGGAGGGACAGAAAACCACCCACTGTGCATTCCCGGAGGTTGGCCCGGCCCCTTTCTCAAGGGCAGGGCTGGATTTCCATGTACGCTTCCTGAACACGGGCCACCTGTCTATTTTCAGTTGCCGACCTTAAAAAAAAAAAACACAAAAAACACAAAAAACCTCACCTGCATTAACATAGATTACAATGACCTGTTTGATGACACACCATCAGGACCAATCCTGAATCATCACAAATAAATGGCATTTTGGGGGCAAAGAAACTAAAGTATGGCCCTTGTCCTGTGGTGAACACCACTTCCTACAAAAAGAAAAAGAGGCCAGTCCACCTGCAGAGCGTGTGCAGGCTCCCCGGAGCCTCTGGCCTTGAAACACGTGGTCTGGAGTCAGACTTGAATTCCAGCTCTGCTGCTGACTGATGCCCGTCTGAGCTGACTGCCTGCGTTTTCACAGGCCTAATTTCCCAATGTAATCTATTAAACCTGGAAATAAACAAGACAAAATGGAAAGTCACTAAGAAAAGCTTAGGAGCAATAAAGACCCTGGAGTTTGTGGTGAGTTACGTATGCTTCGTCCTTCCTTCCTTCCCTCCTTCCTTCCTTTTCTTTCTTTCTTTCTTTTTCTGTCTGTGTATCTCGCTGCTCTGCACAGCCCTAAATTGCAGAGCCAAAGCCACTGTTTCCTGGTTCATTTTTCCAGTCCATCCACACTCCCAATAACTGTACCCATTTTCAGCAATGGGTTTTTCACAGCATCACTCTGGTCCTGGCTTGGTCCCCTTTGCTCGGGCTCCCCTGGGCCAGATGGAGAAGCGAGGACGGAAGGAAAGCCACTAGGAATTGCAAAGATCAGTGGGCTTAGCACTGACCGAAATGCTGGCTGCCCGGTGCCTGGGGGCTGTGGGGTCCGAGCTGTGGGCGCTAAGACTGAGAACATCGTTCCAGAAGGCCAGTAGGTAGGGCTGGCAAAGCGAAGAGGGGGTTCAGCAGGTGTCACAAAGGTAGTGAAGGTCAGGCTGGGAGGTGGTGTGGACTCCGTTTAAGCCCCACTCCTTCCACTTGTCAACAGGATAAATGACTTTGCTTCTCTGTGTTCTCCATGAACATGGAGATAAGAATGCCTGTTTCACAAGCTGAGATGGGATTCAGTGTAAGAACACACAGCAGAGGGTCCAGCACGTGGGGACTTCAGTGAGGTCAGCTTCCTTCCGTGCTTGGCAGAGCTGACAGGCCTTCATAAAAGACAGCCAGTGTTGATTTGGCATTTGAGAAATAATTTGAACTCCCAGGTCTGGTTTGGAGGAGGCAGCTGGCTCTCCTGCCAGATCCAAGGACAGACTCGGAAGGGCCCACGTGAGCTGCAGAGAAAATGCAGGGGCGGGCGTGTGGCCCCGCCGGGGAGAGATGCCAGGCCATGGGCAGTATTCTTCTGCCTCTGTTAGCCCTGTCCTCCCTGGCTCTCCAAGAAGGCTTTCCCCCCAGAACCTCTGGGAGGGGAAGGCAGCAGGCTCCAGGCTGCTTTAAGGGGGCCTAGAAGGAGTGTGTTTGCAAACATGAAGCCTAAAGGGCGAAAACTTTGTTAATCTGGCTGCTAGGGAAGAATAACAAAGCTGGGGGAAAAGACTGACGATCAAAAAGAAAAAGATTTTGCCCATAAAATGACCAGATTAGATTAGACCACGAAGATCCAATTATGCCAGACCAATTGAATTTCCTCTGAGGTTAGCATGGCCAGCCTTTCCGAAGCAGAGGCTGCTGGAGCACAGGGCTTGTCATTGGCATCTGGCACAATCCTTTCTCCAAAAGCTCTTAGCAGGAGTTCAGACCCCACGAGCCCTGGGTGGGGTTGAGAGGTGCATCTCCACCGGGCATCTGTGGCTGAGATTCTGCTCTAGAAAAATGTCCCTAGCACCCTCTTCTTTTCTTTCTTAGCACCAAATGTAGTTTATTATATATTTATTTTGTTGAATTCATGCTTTCCTCAGCTCTGTCAATGGCAAAACAATTGAGGAAAACTTGGTTCAATCTTGATTCTTTTCTCTCTCTCATCCCTGCGTCCAATCCATCAGCGAGTCTTCTCTGCTCTTCCTACAAAATATATCCAGAAACCCTTTGTCCTCCTGGCTCCATCTCCATCACTGCCACTGCTGTCCAAACCAGCATCACTCCTGCTTAGCTACAGAAATAGCCTGCTCGCTCATGTCTCTGCTGTCTCTCTCTTTCCTCCCCCTGACACCTTCGCCAGGTCAGAGGCAGGTATTTCTCCTGTAAATCAGATCGTGTTGCTGCCTGGAGGAAGCCTTCCTTGGCATCCCCTCATCCTAACCACCACAAGGTCCTGTATAACCTGGGCTCTGCCCAGACCTACCTCACGTCACGGTGCTTCCACCAACAGTGTTGCTCAGACCACGTGCCACACTGCCCCTGCCCTGGTCTTTTGCACCTGCTGTTCCCTCCTTTGGGGCTGTCCTGGCTCCTTTCGGTCCGTCAGGACTCAGCTCCGTGGTCACCTCCTCTGAGGGCCGTTCAGCATCCAATCCCAGGTAGCACCACGGCCTCAGTCAACCCCTCTGCTCACATCTCATCAATATCAGATGTCATCTCATTTATCTGCCTATTTCTTATGTGTTCACTTCTTGTCTAGCTCCCCTCTAGTCGAATATATCCACTCCATGAAAGCAGCCTGTCTTGCTTTCCTCTGAATTCTCAGCTCCCAGATCCACCATTAGAGAAACTCTACCAATAGTTCTCAAAAGAGTAAAAGTTCGTGCCCTCCTCTGGCTGGAAGTGCACAAGCGCGGGGACGCGGTGTGATCTGTTCACAACTTTATATCCAGCGCCATCCATTGGACTCCATTGACCCTCTAGAGAGAGAGGGGAGAGAGAGAGAGAGAGAGAGAGAGAGAGAGAGAGAGAGAGAAGCTATTTTCCTCCAAGATGCAGCTGAACATGATTTTTACTTGTTCACTCAACTAATGACGAAGTAAACATCAAGTGATGGTATGAAAACAACTCGTGGTGAATTCATAAATGCCAAGTCTCAGAGGTGACAGGGAGATAGTGCATGCTCCTATCATATGCATTTGTGGACATTTCCCCCCCTAATCTTTTAAAGTTAAGTTTAGGTTTTCTACAATGTGCAGTGGCACATAAACTTCATGTATTTTGAACTCAATATTGTGCATGGAAATGTGTGTAACAAATAGATGTGTTTCTGAGCGTTCGTTTCCATGATCAAAAAACTACCCATTTAGGGGACTTCCCTGGCAGTTGAGTGGTTAAGACTTTGTGCTCCCGATGCAGGGGGGCATGGGTTCCATCCCCGGTCGGGGAACTGAGATCCCGTATGCCACATGGCTTGGCCAAAAAAAAAAAAAAATTTTTTTTTACCGTTTATTTTTAGCGTTTATTCACTTGGTCAAGGGTTTTTAAAGTTTTTAAAAGTGCAGAACCAGCTGAACTATACTCAAAGCTCAGAGACTCTGAAGAAAATGTGAATGAGAGAGATCCAAGGAAGTGCGAGGCTCAGGGAGGCTGGGTGACGGAGAGGACGGTAGGGAGCCCTGGCCAGCAAGAGCAGGGGCACCCAGAGGAAAACCCCTGCTCCGAGGGAGCAAGCAATACAGTGGTGAGCCCTGAAATATAGGACACAGGAGAATGGCTGTTAAAGAAGTCACCTACACACCACCATGCTTGCTTGTTTGTTTTAATTAAAGTGTAGTTGATTTGCAGTATCACGTTAGTTTCAGGCGTACAGCAAAGTGATTCAGTTATACGTATATATGTATATATCTAAATATTTTATTCTTTTCCATTATAGGTTATTACAAGGTACTGAATACAGTTCCTTCTGCTATATGGTAGGTCCTTGTTGTTTAACTATTTTATATATAGGAGTGTGTATCTGTTAATCCCAGCCACCTAATTTATCCCTCCCCCCCTTCCCCTTTGGTAACCATAAGTTTGTTTTCTACATCTGCACACCATCATGTTTTATGGATGGTTAACCATTGTCAGAAAGCTATCTGTCTCTCTGGCTACAGTTAGTGTTTGTTGAATGAGTGAACTGATAAGTGAATGAAGAATGGGAAGCGGGTCATCTTCCCGTGTTATTTGAAGAGAAAAGGAGATAAGATGTACAAAAGTAACTGGTGATTAGTGAAAGTTCCATCAGGGACTTCCCTGATGGCGCAGTGGTTAAGACTCCGCGCTCCCAATGCAGGGGACCTGGGTTTGATCCCATGTCAGGGAGCTAGATCCCACATGCATGCCGCAACCAAGGGTTCTAATGCCACAATAAAGGGGCCCACGTGCCACAACTAAGGAGCACGACTGCTGCAACAAAGACCTCGCACAAAGAAGGAAGGAAGGAAGAGAGAGAAAGAGAGAGACAGAAAGGAAGGAAGGAAGGAAGGAAGAAAGAAAGAAAGAAAGAAAAAGAAAGAAAGAAAGGAAAGAAAGAAAGAAAGGGAAAGAAAGTTCTATCGAGCTTTCTTGAATCTAGTTTAGTGTGAGGGTAGTTTTTCCTCTAACCCATAGATCAACAATAGCAACCATTTATGTTCTAGGCACTCTCCATGTGTAAACTCAACAGTTACAGCTGCTCTATGACTTACACAGTATCATCATTATTCCCAGGGTATAGAGGAGAAAATCAGAGATCAGAAAAGCCAAGTTATTGACCCATGTTCCCAGAGCTAGAAAGTTAGAATTCAGCCTACTGTAGCTTCCTCTGGTGGGATATGTGTCCACCTTCTACTTAGTTATTGGAAGAAACTCATTAAAATGCATCCCTTCCAATGTGACATTTTTTGGCACAGACGGAAGGCTGGCGGTGTGTTCCCTAAAAGATCCCCGTTCCAGCCAGGCAGAGCACCTCTCACATGTGTCTGGAGGAACACTGCAGGGTTTGATTTTGCTTTACAGGATTGGGGCGGAAGGGTTGAAATCAATGCAGAGGAAAAAGAATGAACACTTATTGCATGTCTGCACATGCCAGAGACTGTGTTGGGGGCTTTGCAGAAATTAGTCCCTTCAATCCTCACAGCGACCCCATGAAGTAGGTGTAATTATCTCTATTTTACAAGGAAGGGCACTGAGCTATGGAGAGGTTAAATAGCTCAGATGAGGCGGAGCTGGGACGGGAACCCAAGTCTTCGTGGATCCTTCCACCAGAAGTTTCATAAAGATTGAATCAGTTCTGCTCTAGGGTCAGGGAGGAAAGGCAGGAAGGCCTTGGGGAAGGACAGGCTCTCCTCTGTTTCCCTCTTTCTTTCCTTCCTTGCTTGCTCTTTCTTTGCTTGTTCCTTCCTTGTTTTCCTTCTGTCAATAAATATTTACTGAGAGTCTATCACATGCCCGGCTCCGTGCTGTGAGCTGGGGCTAGAGCAGGAACGAGATTGGTATTCAGGGAGTTGGAGAGAGCAGAACAGATCACAAAAAGGAACCAAATAAACAGGGTAATTATAGATGGCGATAAGGGC